TAAAGGCCTCACTAACCATTTGTTAAAGTCCTCCTGTCTTTTAACCCTCTGAACCCTCAAACCCACTACAGGGTTGAAAGGTATATTATCTTTAAACAAAATCGCCATGGTGACACCATTTCACAGCCAGAGACTGTAAAAACAGAAAGAATTGCTGGACTTTAAACTTTCTAGCGGCCGACAAACAGATCATCTGAATATTAACCCTTCAAAGCAGCAATAATCTGGATTTTAACCCATCAAAGTATCAATAACCCATAAAATATCACACCAAGTGTCAATAGTCTGGGTATGAATGAAAAAAGTGAAAATGACCTGGATGTTGATGGACAAAATTGTCAATAATCTGAATATTAACCCCTCAAAGTATCAATAACCTGGATGTTAACCCATCAAACTATTAACTACCTGGATATTCACCCATCAAAGTATCAATAACTTGAATATTAACCCCTCAAAGGATCAATAATCTGGAGAATAATGCATAAAAGTGTCAGTGATGTGGGTGTCGATGGGTTGTTGAGGTGCTGATCTGGATATCAGCGCAACAATTTACCAACGACGACGACGACGATTGTTGAAATGCGGCAGGAGCAGGAAGCGTCCAGAAACTGTTCTGGGTTCAGAGGTTTCGGTTTCATGGTGGACGTTTTTGCTGAGTCAGCAAGCTGCCGGTGTTCTGATGACGACGTCACGTCTCTGTTGTTAAAGTTTAAAGGAGGTCGAGGAAGTTCCGGCTCAGTGCGGCGGCAGCATGTCGACCGGTCGGGTGTCTGTTTCATTACTCTGCTGTCGACGACGCACGTGTTCTCCCAACAGCAGGCAGACGACGTATTTTACTGAATAAACCAAATGTCCCGTATATAACTCTACCGCTGTTGTGCTTTACGCACATTTTGCCCAACAGGAACCATTTGTATTTCTCAGGAATAACTTCTTTGCACCGGAGGGAACCATGACTTCACGGCGATCATGATAAACTCCACACAGGTCTCATATTTTACTCTTGGCGCCTACTTTGACACTGGACTTTTTAAATACTTATATTTCCTGGTTATTCTGACTGTTTATGTTTTAATCATCAGTGCCAATGTGTTTCTCATTGTGGTTATCTGCATGAACAGAAGCCTACATGAGCCCATGTACATGTTTCTGGTCAGTCTGTTTGTAAATGAACTGTATGGCAGTACAGGATTATTTCCATTCCTGCTGGTTCAGATCCTCTCTGAGATTCACACTGTTTCTGCAGCTGTTTGTTTCTTGCAAGTTTTCTGTTTATATTCATATGCTGCTGTAGAGTTTTTCAACTTAGCCGTCATGTCCTATGACAGATATCTCGCTATCTGTTATCCTCTGCAATACAACACACGCATGACATTTAAGAGGATTGCCTTTCTTATTGCTGCCTCCTGGATTCCTCCTTTTCTTATAATAGTTACCACCACATCTTTGAGTTTCACTTTACAGCTGTGTGGAAACATCATCAACAAAGTGTACTGTGACAACTACTCCATCGTCAAACTGGCCTGTTCTGACACCACCGTCAACAATGTCTATGGACTCTGTATTACGGCATTCACATTAATTGGTCTTCTAAGTTTAATCCTCTACACCTACATGAGGATCCTCAGAGTGTGTTTTTCTGGCTGCAAACAGACCAGACAGAAAGCCGTCAGCACCTGCACACCTCACCTGGCTTCAATGCTCAACTTCTTCTTCGGTTGCACATTTGAGGTTTTACAGAGCAGGTTCGACATGAACAATGTGCCGAATACATTGCGTATATTTTTATCCTTGTACTTTCTAACATGCCAGCCGCTCTTCAACCCTGTACTGTACGGACTGAAAATGTCCAAAATCCGTCATGTGTGTAAAAGTCTGTTTCGATGAAGTGAATTTATACACTCGTAAGACTCAGGAATAAGGATGATTGTAATGTGTAACAACTACTGAATAAGGGAGAAGGGGTAGGATGAAATAAGTTTTACTTCTTCCTACCCCCCTTTCAGACATGTAAACCAGGTCCATTGGTTGTGTGTGTTATGTGTGTTGCTCTTCGCGTGTACATAACGTGTGTGTGTATATATGTACATATATGTGCATCATTTCATATTAGTGTTACTGATGTTTTTTGTTCTTTCTTTTTGTGTATGTACTGGTACACTGGGTTTGGTCTTGACATGTCTGAAATGAATCAATAAATCTAATCAAATCTGTTCTGGTTGAGAAACAATAAAAAGCACTGAAGTCTTTGTTGTGTCGACCAGAGTTGTCTGAAGTGAAACATGCAGGATATACAACACCAACAGAAGACAAAACACTTTGTCTTTAAATGTTTCACATCTGTGAAGGAAAGACCTTGTCAAGCATTTGAAAATATGCTGACTATGAATTCTGTTTGTCATCAACAAAGATAGAGAAAATTAGGGCCCGACCGATGTGGATTTTTCTGAGGCCGATGCTGAGGCAGAACGTTTTACTGTTTTATACTTTGTCCTTTAGTATTTGTTTAACTTTACAACACAGAGGAATTTCAAGTTTTAAAAAAATGCAACAAAGCATTAAACATAATATGCATCAGTTAAACAGATATGTCTGTAATGTAGGGTATTTTATTTTAAATTTGCATTGTGCATTTTTCTTTCTGTGGAGCATGAATATAGCGACCAGCTGTACTGATGACTTAATCTTCAGGTTTAGGCCGTAGGTGTCTGCTCTGTATAAGCAACATAATGAGTGAAGTTACTGGCAGAACATTACTGATGCAGCCCTCTGATGCCCTTCAACGTTACATCACATTATCTCTACTCCATTATTTTCTTTACCATGAAGTCATGACTCATATGAACCAAAATAAAAACCAGAGACGCCTTTCTCAGATGTCAAAACATGTCATCTCTGACAGAGTTGCATTTTAAATATATAATGGTCGCAAATAGTCCGACACTAATGTTCCTCCATAACAACTGTGTCACCTCATCGTGTTTTCTGACAAAGTAAAACTAACAGTGACATGACATCATGACCGTTACGGAAGACGACTGTGACACTTAACAGCAGTTATTGTTTTATGAGAAATTAACAATAGATCGGCGATTACTCTGCAAAACTCCGGACGATGATGAGTATTTTGAAAAGGGCTATAATCGGTCACCACCCCTTTTCCTGTAAGGACGTGGAACTCAGAAAACATTTCTATTAGGAAGGTAAACTTTGCATACTGCCAGTAAACATACCCAAATTATTGTACAAAAAAACTCTGAGGGAGTACGGTGGGAACTTTTTCAGACTTAATTGATTTTATATGAGTTGATCCAGAAGTAAAGTGTCAAGGACAACAAAAATAAACCCAAACCAACACAAAGCCTCAGAGACCTTGCTTCTCTGCCAAACCTGTCGGTGGGTTATAAAGCCATATTTACTTTCTAAAAATCATTCACATCAATCAAATTTAAGTCTCTTCCACATGTGTCATTTTGGTCATTTGCTTCAACCAGATTTTGTAAAAAACAAACAAACAAACAAAAAAAACATCATAAAATTCAGGGACCTTTTGACTGAATTGCAGTCTGCATTTACACAGAGCAGACAGGAGACAAGGGTGGAAAGAAATTGAAAACATTTCGACATGTTGAATCCAGTTTTTTTCAGTTTTTGTAAAATAAATAAAGACTGAACCACGGCAACACATTTTGCTTGCCAACACAGAATTGCCCGTAGTCCAAGTGACAACTTTGTCGTATTGCGACATTACAAAACACCAACTGCAGTCTGTCATCTCACAATAAAAGGTTCTACCTGGTGGAAAAAACAGGTACGAGAGCTAAACTACTATATATTTTCTGACATCAATGCCCTTAGTCTTCTGCCTTCTTAGGTAATATAACTTTAATTGTTTGAATGATTACAATCCTGGCTACTGATGTATGGCTTATAAAAGCTCTACCAGAGCACCTTATGCCAAAAGTCGATTATTGCCTTTGTGGTTGTAACATCAAACCTGGGATCCGTATCACAAAGCAGGTTTAGTGAAAACTCTGAGTCTGTTAACCCTGAAATGTGGGAGAGTTTCCTTCATTTCAGGGTTAACAGACTCAGAGTCTTCACTAAACCTGTGTTGTGAAACGGACCCCTGGTTATGTCTCGGAGAAGACCTGTCAGCTGATAACCACCTGCTGGTGATGGCGGGAAAAGGCTGCCAGACAGACCTGGTAAACCCAAACATGCAATAATGGTGAACTGCGAGTGTCTGGCAGAGGCCTCTGCGAGTGTGGTCTTCAACTCCCACCTCCACAAAAGTTTCTCGTGTATCCCAAGGAAGGTTGTGGACAGAAAAATCTGAGTGGACCTTGTTCAAAGCCTCCACTGCAATAGTGGCTGTTAGCAGTTGTGGCTAGAAGGCAACTGTGCCTGTTGTAGCAGCAACCTAAAAGCCCGTTGCTGGACACAGGCGTGGAAGAGGCTGTCAGGCTTAAAAGAAGATCAGTCAGACCTGGTTGGCCCATGGGGTCTCCAGAAGCAGCAGATAGGTAACAGAGGACAAGACAGAATGCAACTGCGGCAGTTGCAGAGTCAAGACTCAGGTGTGGGAGAAGTTCAGAAAGGCTGTTAAGTAGGATTTTTGTCGGCCTCGAGGATGTGATAGCAAACTTCTCGACACTTCAGGAAGGAATGGTAGGGCTTGTGCCAGGCGGTGTTGAGCAGAGAGAAGGCTAGGCACCATGTGTGGATGAGATACCCCTTCAGATGCTGAAGGCTCAGGGCATTGTTGAACTGTCTTGGCTGACATGCCTCCTCAGAGTAGTGTAAAAAATCAGGGATGGTGCTCGTGGAGTGGCAGAACGGGGTGGTGGTTCCAATTTTCAAAAAAGAGATCAAAGAGTGCTCTAATTACTGGAGTATCACACTGCTCGACCTACATGGGAAAGTTTACTCCGGGACGCTGGAGGGTGGCTCCAGCCAACTGTCAAACTTTGGATTTAGGAGAAGCAGTGTGGATATTGTGAAACAGCGGACCAGCTCATTACCCATGCAGAATTGTTGAAGGGATCATGGGAGTCTGACTATCCGGTCCAGATGTGTTGTGCGGACTTGGAAAAGGCTTTTGACCTTGTCCTTTGCGGGCCCCTTCAGGGTGGTAGTACAGGAGAATGGGGAACGTGGGTCACTGTAACAAGCTTCCAGTCCTTCTACAATTAATGTGGGAACTGTGTTTATATTCTTGGCACAAAGGCAAACACTGTTGGACTCTGTCAGGGTTGTGCCAGAAGGTGAAGCTCTCAGTTTACAAGCCCATCTACATTACAACCTCACCTATGGTCATAAGCTCTGGGTAGTGACTGGAAGAATGAGGTCACCGAGAGAAAAGGCTGAAAAGAGTGTCGTCTGTAGGGTGGCTGGGCTCAGCCTTCAAGATAGGGTGAAGAGCTTGGACATCTGGAAGGAACTTGGAGGAGACTCACAGCTCCTATCCATCCAAAGGAACCAGTTGAGGTAGTTTAATCATCTGATTCGAATGCCTCCTGGGCGACTTCTTTTGGAGGTCTTCCAGGTACATTCAACTGGGAGAAGACACTGGAATAGGAAGAGAACTTGCGAAAAGGATGACATATCTCATCTAGCCTGGGAATGCCTAGGGATCCCTCAGACAGAACTGGAAAGCATTGCTGGGGAGAGGGACGGATGGATGGGTCAATACTCTAGCGGGACAAGTTGGACAATTGTTCAGGGTCGCTGTTGTTCTCTTTGGAGCAAAACAAAACAGGGGTGAAGTGTCTATGTTTGACCAGGGCACCTGCATTCAGCATCACTCAAAACAAAAACATTGGCACTGCATGACGATGTTGCCACGAGGCGACACAGTATACACCTTGTCAAAGGTGCATTTCATTGGGCACCACTGTAGCTCATCGAGTTAAGCGGGCAACCCATTAACAGGGGCCACAGTTCCCCAACGCAGCGGTCGTCGGTTCGACTCCTGCTCATGACCCTTTGCTGCAGGTCTCTCCCCATTCGTCTCCTGCCTTTCCTGTCTATCTCTACTGCTCGAAAATAAAGGCCAAAAGTCCAAAAATATATCAAAATGAAAGGTACATTTCGTAAACTCAACTGTCACAAACAATATACATTTGCTGTTGTGGTGTTAATGTTTTCTAAAAGCTACTTTGCTGATGTATTGCTTTTTGATTGTATCAGTTGTTAATGCCTCCAAGAGTAAATATATCAAACAAAAACAGGTGGGAATCATACGTTAAGAAACGGGCGCTGCTCTAACTGGAGATTTTGACACTGAGTACATTTTACATGAATAACTTTACTTCTACTTGAGTGCTTTTTTGAAAAAAAAAAACAAAAAAACATTTACTTGACTACGGTCTCCATCCCAGGCAGCAGCAGCAACAGGAGGTGTGTAAATATTCAAATTTGCTCCAATGAGTGCTCGAGAAGGGAAATATCACAGGGATGTTGTATTGATGAGGTCAGTCTGCTTTTCCATGAAGCTGGAAAAGTTTAAAAGAAGCAGCAGCACAGTTGCAGCTCAGTTAGTCGATAGCATCGTACTGACTGTGAAATGTCTCACTGTGTCCTGTATCATGTAAGTAAAGTCAACTCTGCTCACAAACGTTTCATGTTTTGTCTTCAACAATCACCAACTTTAACTGGTTGAAATCTAAACTAAAATATGTAACTGAATTGTGTCTTCGTTCACCCTGTAAACAGTGTTATGATTGTCGTGATGCATTGACAGGATCATGATGAACTCCACACACTTTAACTATTTCAGACTTACTGCCTAT